CTCCTAAGGGCATTAGATAGCACTTTCCTTATTCACCTCTGCTAAAATCACTACTAAGCTCTCACAATATGTGATAATATGTCAGAACAAGGAGGTACAGCAAGAGTAAGCCAGTAGTAAGCCAGTAGATGTAAGTTGGCAGGCAAGGACATCACTACAGAGTCTTTATGGTCATTAAAAATGTGACTGTACGGTGCTGGGGATACTTCAGTAGGTAAAATGCTTGCCATGGAAAGGCAAGAACAAGACTTCCAATCCCCAGAAACCATATAAAAGCCATCCACATAGCACAAAGGTCTGTAATCCCAGCACCAGGAACAAGAGAATCCCTGGAAGCTTCCAAGTGAACGCAACAGAAAATCAGCTATCTCAAGCAAGTTGGAAAGCCAGGACCTGTACTGGAGGCTGTCCTCTGATCACAGCATGCTATGGTACACTCAGGCCCACACAAAGGCAGACATAACACATACATACACATCACACTCACACACACACACACACAAACCACAGCAGGAGGTGAGGATGTACTGGAACAAAAAACATGGTTTCCCCCGCCCCATAATATTCTCTGCTCTATCCTTTAGAAAAACTACCCCCTAGCAATATAAAGGAAGTCTTGCCCAAATCATGACTACCGTAGTGAAGATGAATGAGTTCTTAATTTTGAACTGTGTATGAAACTCTATTCTCTCTCAGATTTATGTATAGAGGACCTCTAATTATTCATCTTAGTATATAATCTGTTGTCCTTTACACCCTGAACTCTAGGGCACATAACCATGGGTGTCCTAGCAGGCTTTGTACAGGTAGAAGGCCACGCTGTAAACTGGCATTAGCTGCTCTTTGGCAATAAGTGGATTTAATTATATTTATCCTAGCTCTGTAACAGATTATTTGAATTGCTCTAACAGAACAAATGGGGATTACCACTAACTAGGCCATTTGGCCTTAGGTATTCAGGACCAGGAGGAAAGAAGTTAGCTCCCTCTTGTTGACATTTGCACAGCTAATTAGCACAGATCGCCCTCTTGGTGGCATTTACTACCGTGCAGCCGCAATGCTTTCATCCACTCCCCATAATCCACATGATGTTCCCATCATCTAACCAATCCAGAAGAGCAGAAAACATTTAACAGCTTATCTTCTTCACCACCTTTAACCGGAAACCAGTGCAATCATTTACCAGAGATGAGATATTAAAAAAAAAAAAAAAAAAATGAGAAGCAGGTGATGGTGGAACACGCCTTTAATCCCAGCACTCGGGAGGCAGAGGTAGAGGACAGCCTGGTCTACAGAGCGAGTTCAAGACAGCCAGAGCAACACAGAGAAACCCTGTCTTGAAAAAACAAAACAAAACAAGAGCCACGATAGCACATGCCTGCAACTGAAACACCTTCAAGGACACAACATGAGGATCAAAAGTTCCAGACCAGCCTGGGCTACATAAGACCCTATCTCAAAATTCCGAAAGAATCAAAACCTGAGAACTCCCAGCATATGCAAGGCTCTAGATTTAGGGCCAAACAATGAGTAAATAAATAAATAACAATGATACAAGAGTCATGCATACTGGCACAGAGTGGTGACCTCAGCATTTGGGAGATAGATACAGAAGTTCAAGGCCAGCCTTGGCTACATGAGACATTGTCTCAAAACAACGAAAACAATCTTAAAATAATGTTTTAATTAGCATGCATGAGATCCTGGTTTGGTCCTCAATACAAGGGGTGGGGGAGGCAATATAGAAAATGTTTCAAATATGAGCCAGACACTAAAAAGACCTTGACCATTAAAAAGACCTATGTAGGTGCTAGAGAGCTCAGTAGTTAAGAGCACTTAACTGCTCTTGCAGAAGACACAAGTTTGGTTAGCATCCACATGACGGTTCACAGCTAGCTGTAACTCCAGCTCCAGGGTAGCTGCATGCATCTGAAACACACACACACTCACACACACTTACTTAAAAAAGTTCTGTGTAGTAGGCATGTTGACCTAGGTCCAGAAATCCTATTTTTAAACTATTCATTTTTGGTCAGAAGGTTATTGAAATAGATACTTACCAATTAATTAAAAGTGAAAAACATATGGAAGACCAGTAAACCTTCTAGAATGTCAAATACACCATACTGTTAAGAAGGTCTACATTTCAGAAACATTACAATTATACCTGTTCCTGACTGCTCTAGGTCAGACTGTAAACATAGCCTCTCTTGATGCCTTTCTGTTTCCACCGAGGCCATAGAAAAAACAGGCATTTTTCTCCAGATTGTAAACAAAATATATAAGAAGGAATGTTGATGATGATGCTCTATAGGTGATGATTGACAGATGATGGTCTGGAAACAGTGTGGGGTGCTAGCCCCACTCGAGACACTCGAGACACTCACTCAAGACAACAAATTATCTCTGACATGCAACAAGAAAACTATAGAATGATGAGGGAAGGAGTGGAAAGCCCAGATAAGAATAGAGGTCATACAAGTGCCCAGCATGTGACTCCAATATTTGATCACATTAGGGCTAAGACTTTTGACTTCCAGGCTAGCTTGGGTTATTTAAGACCTTGTCTCAAAAAGGGAGGGGGGTGAATCTCAAAATTCTTCAAAAACATCTGCCTCAAAAAGCTTATTGAAAATAAAAAACAACTAAAGTGAACAAAAGAAAAGAAATACTAATATGGGGACTGTCAAGGTAACTCAGCAGCCAAGAGTACCTGTTATCTGATCTATCTGCATTCAAGTCCCAGGACCCACATGGTAGGAGAGGAGTGAGTTCTGAAAGTTGTTCCTTGACCTCCACATGCATGCTGTGGAACTTGTTTGAGTATGTGCACACACGCACACCCAAACACACTGATGAATATATAATGCAAAGAAAATTTAAAGACTGCACAGCATAATTTTATTCTCCCTTATATGACAATGAGAAGTCAGAACATGGTACTAATAGTGTGCTCACAACGTGGGAATCAATTTTCCTAATATGGCCAAGCCCTAAATATAGCCACAATTTTTTTGTTGTTGTTGCTCAAAATACACCAAATTTAACCTTATCCATGGAGGGAGTGGCAGTGGACAAACACGAAGGGAAGTCCATCAGCATTCAAATGGCTTTAAAGTCCTTGGTAAGGGCTGCCAAAGTGAAGATACCTGAACCACACATGGCTTTTTTCTCTCCAGACTTTGTACCTTGATCTAGTCTGGGATTCTAAGAAGAAAAAGAAGACATTACAAATCCTGAGTCCAAAGTAACCCTACCATTTTGAGAAGTTGTACAGCATCACTAGTAGGAAGACAAGTAAAAGGCACAGAATCCCCTACCCAAACACTCAGCTTTCATTTGCCTAATGGTACTGACACAGATTATGATACACAGAACCCTCACAATTTACCTTCCAAACACCACGCACACAAATTCAAGTCTATTTAATGTTTCATTCTCACGTAGTTGGAGCCAGGCACAACAACACACATGTTTATTGTAATAAATATACTTGAGAGGCAGTAAGAGGGGGATCAGGATGAGGCCAGCCTTGGCTACGTTAAGACTGGTGTCAAAATACAAAACTAAAGAAAATCCTGTATCACTATAGTGAGGGTTTGTAAATGTTTTAAATAAATTTTTTAAGCAATATAGAAGATGAAATTTAATCAAAATTCATTTCAAATGTTATGTCTCACAATTGTGATCCCAGCACTTGGGAAGCAAAGACCAAGGGTTTGAGGCTAGCCTGCACTACCAGAGTGGGACTCCTGTTTCATATATTAAAATAATAATAATTTCAAAGTTTCACTTTAACTTTTTTAAAAGATGTATTGTACTGACTCTAGACTTCTTCAACAATAAACTGCTTTTGCAAAGCACCACTAGAATACCATAATCAGTATGGAGTGTTCAGTTCTTTTTAAATGTTGAAAACTTAGCCGGCAAATAAATGACTTTCTGAACCTAAGAATGCTGAGAGACAGTACAGCAAGACCCAGGAAAGCATCTTTGGAAACTTACTACTACAAAGAATAAGAGTATAGGGATTTTTAAAGACTAGATTACAAGTCGATTGCTTAGATCAAAATGCAAGACCTGCCACTTAGAGCTGTGGATCTTAAGCACGCTTCTTGATACATGCTAATTCAAAGATATGTGTTCCAAAGATGAACTATTAGATATCTGCCGCAGCTTTGTTAAATTAGACCCTGAGACGTTCCATAAAAGCATTTCCCTCCCTTTCTACTCATCATGCAGCATCAGCCTTGTAACTGATGAGGAAATTACACACTTTTATTCCTCCGCTGCGAGCATGTCATACATTGCAAGGAAGAAGCTGCTTTTTTCGTGGGTCCACCCTTTACAACTTCAAAATACTGTCACACACTCAGTAGGTTGGAGCTGCCCGCAAAATGACAGCTTACAGGCTGGGGAGGGTGGGGAGAGAGATGCAGGTGACTTTCCCTCTAGAGACCCTGGAAGGTACACAGGGACCCTGAGGTGCTCAGGCGCGGGAGCATCCAGGGAAATGATGGGGGGGGGGGTACCTGAGGGAAGAGGGCAGAGGATGGCGTGGGGCTCCCACCTGGGAAAGAGACCTGGAAAGCAGGGGAGGAGGAAGGCTCTGGGGGGGGGGGTCTCACCTCGGGGGAACAGTAGAGAAGGAAAAGGGCTGTTGGTGGCTCTTGGACCCTGAAAGACCAGGAGAGAGGGGACTGAGAGGTCCCGGAGTCCCACCTGGAAGGTCTCTGGGAGCGAGGGAGGGAGAGAGCGAGGGAGGGAGGAGGATGGTGGAAGGGGAGAGGAGGATGTTGCCGGGGTCCCACCTGGAAAGAGATGACAAACAGGCATGGGGTCCCATCCAGGAGGACCTGGATAGAGAGGACAGGGGTCCCTCACCGGAGGAGCTGGGAGAAGGGACAGGGTGGCGCATGGGTCCCGCCCGGGAGGAGGGGACAGGGCTGCGCAGGGGTCCGGTCTCCTCGCAGGCCTCCCGCCGGCTCGCACGCACTCACCTGAAGGCAGGCTCCTCCTTGGGCGGCCGGGCCTGGGCGGCCGCGGTACCGCCGCCCCTTTTGTTGAAGAGCTTCTGGAGCAGGGTCGGGGCCATGGCGTGCACGCGGCGGCCCGGGCGGCCACGCTCGGGGACCCGGCGGCTCAGCGCGCAGCCCACGGCGGCCGCGGCGGGGCCATGGCGACGGGGGCGCGGCCGGCCGGAGGGGCGCGAACGCGGGACCGCTGCAGCGGACGGAAGGTGCGGCGCCGCGGTCGCCGGCCGGTCATATGACGGAGCCGGCCCGCCCGGCTGACAGCTCGCTCCCGCGGGAGGAGGAGCGCGGAGAGGGCAGCACGAGGGAGGGGGAGGAGCACGGAGAAAGGAGGAGGGAGAGCACGAGGGAGGGGGAGGAGCACGAGGATAGGAGGGAGGGGAGCACGCGGGAAGGGAGGAGCGTGAGGGGTGGAGGGGAGGAGCGCCAGGGAAGCAGCACGAGGGAGGGGAAGGAGCGGGAGGGACCGGGAGGAGCGCGGGGGGGGGGGGGATAGAGAGAGGGACGTGTTGGGAGGAGCGATGGGGAGGAGCGCGAGGGAGCGGGGAGGGGGTTGGAGTATGTAGGGAGGGGCGATTTGGGAGGAGCTGCAGGGGAGGGGAGGATCGCGCGGGGAGAGGCTTGTAGGGAGGAGGGAGTTACAACCGCAGGGGGTGGAGGGTGGAGCGCGGGAGAGAGGGAGGAGCATGACGCCATTGGTAGGCTCTGCCCGCCCTGCGGCGGCATCACCGGGGGCGCTGCCAGGGTAGTCACTCGTGCTGCGCTGACCCGCGCTGCAGAATGGGGAGGGGTGTGTGGGTCCTCGCACACTTGAGCCGCTGAGTGCGGGAGCACGACTACGGAGGTCTTTGTTCTCTGGAGAAAAAGCCCTTGAACTTGGTCCTCGTCTAGTCGGGTACAGGACTCCCCAGTAAAAAAGCGTGTGCTGCCGGACGAGCAACTTGGTGTCTGAGGTTGCTGCTAGAAATTCTGGCCCAAATCGCTATGCGTTCCAGGTCTTGGCAAGCTTCTGATATGGCCAGAGTAAATCTCTGAGCTCAATTTTGAATTTACAAACAGTAAATTCAGGTCACTGTTTAGTTTGGTGTCTTGGGCTCCACTGGTACCTGGGTCACACAACAAACTACATGGAGCTCAGCCCTTTCTCTCTCTCTCTCTCTCTCTCTCTCTCTCTCTCTCTCTCTCTCTCTCTCTCTCTCTGTCATACACACACACACAGAACTCACTAGCTTTAGAAATTTGAGAGAAAACAATTTTATAACAAATGATTACCTAGTTCATGTTCAAATAATAAGGGCACATAAGAAGAAAATCTGCAGCATATACTTTGTTTTTTTTGGGGGGTGAGGGTGTGTGCTTAATTAAATTCATTTGCCTGTGCTAGCACTCCTCAGATCCCCTGAGAATGCAATGTGCTGTGGTGCAAGACTCTAAAGAACCTGTGGTTATGAAGAGTCTGACCACATTCAAAACAGTGTATTAACCTGTTTTGCAACACTGAGCTCTGAAGTTTTTCAGATGGCAGGTAGAGCTAGACTTACTTTGAGTTCAACTTTGTCTCCCCCAAATTTGTGAACAGTGAACAAATAACCCACCAAGATTTCCTAGACTTGATCAAAAGAAGACAATTAGGGCTGGAAGCATGGCTCAGTGGTTACAAACACATGCTGCTGCTCCTTGCGCAGGTCTGGAGTTCTCGTCCCAGCAAGTGGGTCAGAAGGTTTACAACCAAGTGGAACTCCAGTTTAGAGGACCCTACTCCCTCTTCTGGCTTCCCCCGGCGCTGCACTCTCATGCACAAACCTCAAAGATGTGTACACGCCTATATATGTAGAAAAAAATAAAATTAAAAAAAAAGAAAAGGACATTTAGACTTTCAAAAGCAAACATAGCCGGGCGTTGGTGGCACATGCCTTTAATCCAAGCACTCGGGAGGCAGAGGCAGGCAGATCTCTGTGAGTTCAAGGCCAGCCTGGTCTACAGAGCTAGTTCCAGGACAGCCTCCAAAGCAAAACAGAGAAACTCTATCTCGAAAAACCAACAAAACAAAAACAAAAAACGTATTTCACAAACATAAGTAATCAAAAAGGGGGTGGGGTGGGGCGGAGCTGGAGCTCTGTGCTGTTCAAAGCTCCTATCAAGAGATTGTTTGTTTCTTCATTTCTTGGCCAGCCCCAGTCTCCAGTATTGTCATACAGCTCTGCATATGGCTGTCAAGAGAACCAGGAATAGTAGAATATTCTGAATGCTTGGAGGTGACAGAATAATAGTGAAATGGGAAAGGGCAGATTGGGTAAGGGCTGTCTTCTGTATGCTGGTCTATCCATTCATCGTGACTTGTTTCAATACATGTATGCTCTGTAATTGTTTTGGTTTGATTTCTGTTAGATTATCATGAACACCATCAGTGTGACCTGCTGAAACCTGGTACTCCATGCTGAAGAAGCTAGAGGGGAAGCAGAAGAAATTCCCCCTTTCTAATTGAGGTATAGTTATTAGTATCTGTATATGATGCTACAACTATCTTTATAGAAGCTTGCAGATGAAACCAGGCCAAAAGATGGCAAAGACAAAGTATCAATGACATTATTAGTTTACAATCCCGCTATTCTAAATGTATGTTTTCTTTTAGAAGATAAATTTTATCTGAATCCAAAATCTATAAGAGAAATCCCATTGTTAAAATTTTCTCTATTGCTCACTATAACATGAATACATTGGTATTTTTAACTCCCAGTATGCCAGAGAAAATTTGCAACAAACACCAGTGGTCCCATTCCAGTTTTTCTTTTGAGTAGGGACTTAACCTAAGACAAACTACTCATGGTAAGACAAACTACTCATGGTCTCATGGAGTCTGTGGTGGCCTTGAACTCAGGATGTAACCAGGCTTTGAACTCCTGAGCCTCCCCTCCATGTCCAAGTGCTAAGATTACAGGTGAAAGATACAGGTTTACACAGTGCTTTGTGTATACTATACAGGCTGAACTGCATGACCAGTGGTTCTTTTTCTTCTAGTATTTCAGAATGTTTCTTTTTATCAGATTTTCCTTTCTTCAACATTGTGGAAAGACAATGAAAAATTCTCAGTTCCCATCAGTGATTAACAAAAGTTCTAAAATATGACAAAGATAATATCTCCAAATTACTTTTATGTTCCCTTAAAGAACATTGCAGTATTTGGGCTGTTTGACAAGAGAAGGAAGGTTGATCTAATAGTAATGGTTTGTTTCACTGTGGAGTCAACCTTGTAGGAGATTCCACATTCTGTATCTTAGTGGGGCAGGATGATTCATACAGAATCCAAGGGGCTAAGGAAGGAAGACTGCTACAAATTCAAGGCAGAGTGAATTACAAAGGGAGACCCTGTCTCCAAAACAAAACAAAAAGCCCCAATCAACACAAAGTTTTCCGGTCTTACCATTTTTTGTCTTTTGTACCATAGTTAGGCATAATTGTTGAGGGATGTTGTAATAATCTCTGGTTACAGGCATGTCAGAACCTGCCTGTAACCCTAGTACACAGGAAGGAGATAAAGACAGGGAAACCTGGAAGATACAAAGTCATCCTCAGCTACATGTGCAGTTCAAGGCCAAACTAGACTATGTAAAACATGTCTCAAAATAAAGAAAAGAAGTTCATGAAATAATAATCCTTAATGTCGGAAGCTGTCTTTGTGGAGCTGCAATCGGAACCAGCCTAGCTGCCCCAAGTTCATACCTGAGTGGGAATGTGGATGAGGGAAAGGCTAGCTATAGATGATAAAGAAAAGACAGAATAAAAGTCAAGAGGGCAGATCAGTCAATACTGAAATGCCACGAATTTATTTTTCACCACTCTTATATACCTTATCCAAAAAGGGAAACATGGTATCATGTACACGGAGCAAACAGACTTTTCTTCCTTACTTATTCTAAGGGTTCAGTAACCACACCTTAGTTTCAACTTCATGTTCCCTAGCCTTGAGAATCAGGAGTAGCCACACCTCAGATTCAGGTCTGTTGTTATTTAAAATAAGACAGCCAAACATCTTGCTGTAGCCACCACACCTTTGGCCTTTCGGTCTTATGACTTGCTGAGGACAGTTTTGAACTCTGTCCTTGTGCCAAGATGGAGTGCAGCCATCTTTATGGGCACCAACACCTGAACTAAGGAATAAGCAAACTCTCAAAATCTGTGATGGGGCTTGGGACGGAAGGGCTAATCCACTGAAAACTGATCCTGTGGTATCTGAAACAGAACTCCATCTCACAGTGGTGACTGCCGACCCACATGGTTCTAAAAATCAGGAAATGTTTGTAATCAACATAGCAATTTTTGAAACCTACATTTGTTTTGGCATGTGAAAGTTTGAGAAAGAGATAGCCTCATGTAGTCCAGGCTGGATTTTTACCTGGTTATGCAGCTGAACATGACCTTGAACTCCCCGTGCTCCTGCTTCTATTCCAAGGTGCTGGGATGACAATGCATGCCACTATGCCTGGCTCAGACCTATGAGCCTGGCAACTTGGGTTCAATCCTAGAACCCACATAAAAGGTAAGAAGAGAGAAGTGACTCGAAAAGACCTCCTCAGACCTAAACACACACACACACACACACACACACACACACACACACACACACACACACACACGAGAGAGAGAGAGAGAGAGAGAGAGAGAGAGAGAGAGAGAGCATATCCACACGGCACAGCCCTCTGTCCTTTTGGGGACAGTGCTTTTGCTTACTGAGCCACCACACTGAACTGTTTTCACGTCTGTTTTGAAACAGGATCTGCTGTGCACCCTAGACTGGTCTCACATTCAAGACCCTCCTGACTTCTACTCCCAAGATTTCATCCGTGCTCCACTATGCCTCACCAAATTTTTACTCCTATTTTGTGTGTGCCATGTGTATGTGTGTATACAAGCAAGTGGGGAGGGGTGTTGTGTGTATCCATATGGAGGCCAGAAAACATCAGATATCTTCATCTGTTGTTCTCCATCTTACTGTATGAGTGTGTGTGTCTATTGTATGCACATGTATGTGTATAGCATGTACAAAGGGAGGTGTCACGTAGCCTCCTTTATCACTCTCACTCCCTTCACACAGGGACTCTCACTGGCTAGAGCTAAGCTGTTGGCCAGCAAGCCTGATGATCCTCCTGCTAGGATTACAAGTATGACTGGACTGTCTATTCCCAGATTTGTTCACAGGTATTGGGTATTTGAATTCTGGTCTTCATGCTTATACAGTACTGTTATCCAGTGAGCA